AAAATCTGAAGGTAAATTTGGACCTGTGAAAACAAGGCAGGACAAGCAGTGGTGCACATTTAAATGTGTACCACAAGAAGCATAAAAATAGAATAACAAAAAAAAAAAAACATACAGCCCTTTAAAACTGACTGTAGTTGACCACTGCCCAGTGATATGACAACACCAAGTTCACAAAAACAATCAGAAAAGAAAAATCTGCAGTTCTTGTGAGATGAAGCAAAATGTTTTACAAAGTCTTCTATATTTAGGGAATATGCCCTCCTTGACTCAACACTGGGTATTCCCAGGTGACTTTATCTATCATCTGCCATTGTCTTCCTGAGGCGGGTTTTTATTAATTCAAGTGCAGAGAATCTTCTTTCGTAGTATGCAGTGCTAACTGATATCACAAGCCAAACTTTACTCGGCCTAAAAAAGTTATAGAAATTCTCTTTGTAAGGTTCCTAAAGCGTAGCAAACTTAAGTAGAGAAGCTGGTCTCTCTCCACTTTTCTTCCTCCTTAAAAGAAGCCCACTTGTTTGATGAATCTCATGATTAAGGTTCTCTAAGTCTGACTTGAATGTTTCCCCAAAAGCAAGCAGAGGCTACTCTTTTAGGCCTGAAATTCATATACAAGTCTCTCAATGCAGCAATATGGTGCATTACACATACCAATATGAATAATTCTACCTAATTTTAGTGAGTGTTGTGGAACATTTTGCTAACGTGTTCTTTTAAGCGTTTTCAAGCCAGTGTGACGGTATATCTCTGTTTCATGACACTAGTAATTAAAGTAGTACAAAATACACTATATTGCCAAAAGTATTTGCTCACCTGCCTTGACTCACATATGAGCTTAAGTGACATCCCGTTCCTAATCCATAGGGTTCAATATGACGTCGGTCCACCCTTTGCAGCTAGAACAGCTTCAACTCTTCTGGGAAGGCTGTCCACAAGGTTTAGGAGTGTGTTTATGGGAATTTTTGACCATTCTTCCAGAAGCGCATTTGTGAGGTCGCACACTGATGTTGGACGAGAAGGCCTGGCTCTCAGTCTCCGCTCTAATTCATCCCAAAGGTGTTCTATCGGGTTGAGGTCAGGACTCTGTGCAGGCCAGTCAAGTTCATCCACACCAGACTCTGTCATCCATGTCTTTATGGACCTTGCTTTGTGCACTGGTGCACAGTCATGTTGGAAGAGGAAGGGGCCAGCTCCAAACTGTTCCCACAAAGTTGGGAGCATGGAATTGTCCAAAATGTCTTGGTATGCTGAAGCATTCAGAGTTCCTTTCACTGGAACTAAGGGGCCAAGCCCAGCTCCTGAAAAACAACCCCACACCATAATCCCCCCTCCACCAAACTTTACACTTGGCACAATGCAGTCAGACAAGTACCGTTCTCCTGGCAACCGCCAAACCCAGACCCGTACATCAGATTGCCAGATGGAGAAGCGCGATTCGTCACTCCAGAGAACGCGTCTCCACTGCTCTAGAGTCCAGTGGCGGCGTGCTTTACACCACCGCATCCGACGCTTTGCATTGCACTTGGTGATGTATGGCTTGGATGCAGCTGCTCGACCATGGAAACCCATTCCATGAAGCTCTCTGCGCACTGTTCTTGAGCTAATCTGAAGGCCACATGAGGTTTGGAGGTCTGTAGTGATTGACTCTGCAGAAAGTTGGCGACCTCTTCGCACTATGCGCGTCAGCATCCGCTGACCCCGCTCCGTCAGTTTACGTGGCCTACCACTTCGTGGCTGAGTTGCTGTCGTTCCCAAACACTTCCATTTTCTTATAATACAGCTGACAGTTGACTGTGGAATATTTAGGAGCGAGGAAATTTCACGACTGGATTTGTTGCACAGGTGGCATCCTATCACAGTTCCACGCTGGAATTCACTGAGCTCCTGAGAGCGACCCATTCTTTCACAAATGTTTGTAAAAACAGTCTGCATGCCTAGGTGCTTGAATTTATACACCTGTGGCCATGGAAGTGATTGGAACACCTGATTCCAATAATTTGGATGGGTGAGCAAATACTTTTGGCAATATAGTGTAATCATAGGTGTTACTCAGCACAAGCACTGCGGTGCAACATCTCCCTTGCTTCCCGATAAAACAGCACTTTGTTTAATTTAGTACCAGGAAATGTGCATACCAGCAAACCAAATCTTTTTCATTGATTCTGTGTGCCGCTTGGAGCACGTCAGCTTAACCGATTAAAAGTATAGCAGAAGCAGGCTGCGTAAGGATGCGTTCATGTCTGCTGGGAATTTTGAAAATTATCTTCGCAAATGTTCATAAATTTCAAACAGAGTTAATGTTTTCAGTGGGGTGGCAAGAGGGGTGGCAAGGATTTCTTCTGGGGTTTCTTCCCCAACTAACCCTCTGGCTCCGCCACTGTCAGACAGACAACAGCTGTCTGTCAGTTCTGTTGCTCTGGTCTACGCCCAGCATTGGCACGGGTACTTTCCCACTGCCCAGGAAAGACAACAACTTTGTAACCCCTTTTAATGACATCCATGATGTCTTTGGATCTTAACTTACTTTCAGAGCTGACTGTCATGATGTTTCATGTGTCCAGACAAAGTTTCTGTTCAAACGAGGTATTACACTAAGATGCACGATAATTGTCTCTTCGGTGCACTTTGGGTTAAGCAGGCATATCCTTCATACAGTGAAATTAGTGGCAGTGGATAGAATGGCATAAATTTTACTAAACTAAGAATAGTGATACAACCTGATATCTAAATATCAGTAAGAAGTAGAGACCAGCAAAACTACAAAAGTACACTTTACCTAAGTTAATCTAACTAGTAAATGTATCTATTTAGTCAATCTCTTTAAGTTAATTTTCTAATTTTGAGTGTAATTTTTTTACCACATTTCTTTTGGACAAGTTGATACATAGACCTTAAATTTCATTCACATAGTCTTAAAAATGGTCTCAGATTTCATTTGGTGACACCTATTGATATCCTGGACAATTTTTCATTTTTGGCAGCAAATACATTCTCAAGTTAACCATAATGTTCTTTCATTAACACATCGATTTTTGTCTTTAAACTTACTAAAGAGAGCACAAGAAAATCAACGTCAAGCTGAACGTCATGGAATTGTCCATATTGACTTTTTCCTCATAGCTTACAGTTCTCCAACTTATATCAGAGACTATGTTTTGTCATTTTTACAAGTTCTATAATGTTTAACTTATTGATCGGTGGTTAAAATGGTGTTTCAATCATTTAGTTACAGAGTTGGTATTTTTAACTCTACCTTCAATTTTCAACCAGAAACACCTGTGAAATTAAGCTTGAAAAGCCTTAGATAAATTTATCAGCTCAATGATCGATGAACAGCATTTCATCAATGCCTCTTCTTTGGCAGTGACAATGCCAAAGAAGAGGAAAGGTCAAGTCAACTGTATTTAGTAAGCTCATAAATGTTTCTTTCCTATAAATAACTTGTTAGCTACTATTCATACCGAGATTTCTCCATACCAAAAAATACGATATTATATTTTTTACTCATCATCCAGTGTGAATTTCCTAGACATAAACAGAAACTGAGCGTCTGCCTAGTTTTTGTTTTCCAGTCAGTTTCAGATTCAGGTCAACTGGATGTTTTATAGTGATCCCATCATTAAGACACACTAAAAACACAAACTGAATCACTCAAATTACTGAAAACTCAAGATACTCAAGATAAAACTTTTTACCACTTTTAGTCCCCTCATAACTTTTTATTTGACTAAATATTTCTCATAAAGAGGGACTTCATATCACTTTCTTACCTTATTATATTAAAAAAAGTTAAAATGACATGTTATTTTGAACATTGCTGACATAAAGTATTGGACCACGCTTGTGTTGCTTGGAGAAAGAAATAGCTTTGAAAAATTGCCCTTTGAGATTTTCTTAGTGCTTTGTTATGTTTTTATTAGTTTTCTTCCTGGTACTTTTGTTCCAGAATACTCTGATTCAACCATTACATACCGTAAAACTGCACATTTTATTATATGAAATGAACTGCTGACTGGATATGATTGTATTGTCTACATAAATGACAGATATTAAGTCCCAAGAGAAAATAGAATGATATTCATGAAACTTGTGTATTTAATTACATGTCTGAAAAGTGTAGGCCTTTCATACATTGTTATTGTAGGAAAAACTCTTCAGTTGTCACATGTGTATACCATTAAAACTTTCATAAAGAGTAAACAAAATTGTCTACCTAATACAACCACTGCTGTATGCCAATACTATTTAACTCAATCGGTTCCATTAAAAAAATAAGAAAATTTAAAAAATAGATAATTACCTTTTAATACTATTAGTCTAAATGCAATAATCAATGTGCAATACTACAGTCAACGAAAAAAAGGTTTGCCTGCTTTCTTTTCTAATTTGTTTATTATATTATTCAGACAATAAACATTTAGAACAATAAATTAAAGAAAACAAGGACGTTCTAATATTTTATTCCTTGACCGTATTTTTGCAGGAATTAAATCAGAAACCTTTATTTTTATATATTTTTATTTTTCTGTAGTCTTTTTGGTAATTGCTATTTCCACATTGCTCAGTTAATCAATCACTTTGAGTTTAGCTCTAAACGTTTACAACTGTAAATCCCTGTCCTGTTAAGATAACTCGCTTATCTTAACAGTGAGGATTCAAACTTTCACCGCGTTCAGCTCAAAGCGCCATGGTGCCCCCATGATTACATTTTGGGATTCTGCAACTTAACAACCCCAGTCGTTTATGTGCTTCCTTTGCTAAGAGGAAACCAAAGTAGCAATATCCACTCATCTCATAAACATAACAGGGGCCATGTGAGGTGAAGAGGGGGAGACTGGGGAGACGCAGCGAGGCGCAAGGTGTCCATTTCCCCGGCTGCTCTGTCCTGTCTGATTCCCAGACCTACTTTGGTGCTGAGTGATTGCACTTCAGGGATAATCTGAGCGACACTTAACCTCACCGAAAGAAATAGAAGACGTGATTAAAGAAGACCCTACCTTGCTTGGTTGGACCCCAGGCCAGCGAAAGAAGACAGAAAAGCCAAATTGTAATCTCCACCGCCATGTACAGCCTTTGATTTCCACCAGCGGGGTAGAAGCGTGCGCCTGTATACAATCACATACACCGTAGTTTGAAGCATTTACAGCAGCATGCACACGCTGGAATCCGCTATTCTCCGCGGCGGAGCTCAAAAGGAGCGCTCTGAGGGTTTGGGTGACTGTAGGGCATTGGTCCCGCAGCTTCCCGCACAGAACCACCGCATTAGTCGGGGTAGAGCTGCTGTGTCTCTCGGCGCTTCAACGCCATGTTGCGAGCCAATGTTAAAAGCGTGTGTGTGTGTGTGTGTGTGTGTGTGTGTGTGTGAAAGAGGGCGAGTGTAGCCTTCCTATCATCACGCACACACACGCTTGGCCGCGCGCGTGTACACGCACGCGCACGTTTATCAGACATTGACTATAGTCCGGTGGAGTCCAGAAAAGCTCCTCACACACAAACACCTTTTTTTCCTTCTTTTTGTTGGACCCCATGCTTTACATTCATCCTGACGCGCTGCAGGCTAGAAATGCGCATGGGAAATGTGTTAATAATCCATTCCAGCCCCGCGTCTGTCTGCAGAGGGGGGCACAGGACAAGGATCCCGCATGTGCGGGAGTGATATTAAGAGTCGATAACAGTCGGGATGAGTGTCTGTGAAGACTACTAATGAGTTGCCCCCCCATGAACCCAGTGTGGGACGGACTTTGGTGCTTAAGGAGATCTGGACAAATAGCTGCACATGCCGCAGACATTAGGTTTGCTCGCAGTCATTCTTAAAATGTGCTTGTTTCATTGTTAGTGTTATCTAGGTGGAAGCATTCACCTCTCTAATGTTTTGTGTCAGGCTTTAGATAAAGGGGGTGGAGCAGGACGACCTCATGTGGTCCAGGAGCACCCCCACCATCACCCCCCCCCCCCCCCCCCCCCCCATAAACAAAAAAAGAGAGAGAGAGAGGTGGTGGATGGGTGGATAGGTGGGTGTCTGTTCTTGGGAGGGGCTCCTTCTGCATGCTGATCAATCAGCCAGCTGCTCCCACCCCTGTCTGGGGGTACTAAGGGACCCCCTTTTATGGAGGCACTAGCAGCAGTCAAACAGAAGAGGAACAACTGGTTCCCATCAGATGGAGACAAATGTCCTTTCCTGATTTAGGTTTCTGATAAGGAATTCACTGATCTCAACATGATTATGCAGCAATGACATTTAAAGCCGGATCTTTAATTTGTCCCCACAACATATATGACGAGCCTTTCATACTGCTCACATTCCCTTGCAAAAGTATTCATACCCTTTGAATTTTTTTTACATGTAATAACATGCATCTATAATTTTCTAAGCAGATTTTTCTAGGATTGAACACAATAGTTTAGAACAAAGTAGCACATAATTCAAAACGGCACAAGTGCTGTAGGACAATCGGTCAAAAAGACAAGTCAGTCTTGCACATTACAAACCCCCCTTTTACAGAGGAGGGGCAAGTATTGATCCATTTTTGAAAGAGAACTGTAAAAAATCTACAGAGGGGACCTACAGAGGGGACAAAGTAAACATGCAGGTGAATGTGCTCTGAAAATATATAACAAAGTGGATGTGTTTGTAATATACACAAAATCCCCTTGTTACATTTAAGATTTTTACTCAGTTGAAAAATTTCTTGAAAGAATTTAAGCATTTTTGTTTAATTTGACTGAGCATTGATTTTTCTGTTAAATATAAACTTCAGCACTTCTAGTCTCTAAATGTGTATAAATGTGTAAAACTTGCAGGGATATACACTATATTGCCAAAAGTATTTGCTCACCCATCCAAATTATTGGAATCAGGTGTTCCAATCACTTCCATGGCCACAGGTGTATAAATTCAAGCACCTAGGCATGCAGACTGTTTTTACAAACATTTGTGAAAGAATGGGTCGCTCTCAGGAGCTCAGTGAATTCCAGCGTGGAACTGTGATAGGATGCCACCTGTGCAACAAATCCAGTCGTGAAATTTCCTCGCTCCTAAATATTCCACAGTCAACTGTCAGCTGTATTATAAGAAAATGGAAGTGTTTGGGAACGACAGCAACTCAGCCACGAAGTGGTAGGCCACGTAAACTGACGGAGCGGGGTCAGCGGATGCTGAAGCGCATAGTGCGAAGAGGTCGCCAACTTTCTGCAGAGTCAATCACTACAGACCTCCAAACTTCATGTGGCCTTCAGATTAGCTCAAGAACAGTGCGCAGAGAGCTTCATGGAATGGGTTTCCATGGTCGAGCAGCTGCATCCAAGCCATACATCACCAAGTGCAATGCAAAGCGTCGGATGCGGTGGTGTAAAGCACGCCGCCACTGGACTCTAGAGCAGTGGAGACGCGTTCTCTGGAGTGACGAATCGCGCTTCTCCATCTGGCAATCTGATGGACGGGTCTGGGTTTGGCGGTTGCCAGGAGAACGGTACTTGTCTGACTGCATTGTGCCAAGTGTAAAGTTTGGTGGAGGGGGGATTATGGTGTGGGGTTGTTTTTCAGGAGCTGGGCTTGGCCCCTTAGTTCCAGTGAAAGGAACTCTGAATGCTTCAGCATACCAAGACATTTTGGACAATTCCATGCTCCCAACTTTGTGGGAACAGTTTGGAGCTGGCCCCTTCCTCTTCCAACATGACTGTGCACCAGTGCACAAAGCAAGGTCCATAAAGACATGGATGACAGAGTCTGGTGTGGATGAACTTGACTGGCCTGCACAGAGTCCTGACCTCAACCCGATAGAACACCTTTGGGATGAATTAGAGCGGAGACTGAGAGCCAGGCCTTCTCGTCCAACATCAGTGTGCGACCTCACAAATTCGCTTCTGGAAGAATGGTCAAAAATTCCCATAAACACACTCCTAAACCTTGTGGACAGCCTTCCCAGAAGAGTTGAAGCTGTTCTAGCTGCAAAGGGTGGACCGACGTCATATTGAACCCTATGGATTAGGAACGGGATGTCACTTAAGCTCATATGTGAGTCAAGGCAGGTGAGCAAATACTTTTGGCAATATAGTGTACCTCCAGGCAAGGCAATAAAGTTTATCAGTACAGCAAATGTCATTAATTAAACAATTCAAAGTGCTTTACCCCTAAAGACCCCTAAAGGTAACAGACCTGAACCTACAGAGACACATAAAGGCAGTTACCAAGTCAGCCTTTTATAACGTGAATAACATCTCCAGCATTAAAAGACTAATGTCAAGCTATAACAGGGTCTTGGCTTAAGTACTTCCCTCCCAAGCTTAACCATTTGCAGAAAGTCATGGAGGAGATTCACTCCATGGAAAAACTGATATATCTTTTACATATAAAAGGACATTACTACAACAAAAGCTGGACTAAATAGCTGACATACAAGAGCAAGGAAACATTACTAGGAGTAACATCTTGTAATGAAAACTAGATTTTTTTTTTCTCTTTCTATTTATCTACAAATTAGTGCCCCAAGTTCTATGTGTGTTTCATTGAATGGAAAAAAAAAATAAATAAAGAAAATTAAATTAAACAAAAAAAAAAGACTAACACCCGAGCAGGATGTATGAAAACTCATTTATGCTTTTATCTTTGTTGGAATTGATTACTACAATAGTGTCTTTATAAGTTTACCTAAAATCTCAGTCAGACAGCTGCAGCTGATGCGAAACTCTGCTGCCTGTGTTCTCACTAAAACTAAGAAAGTGGAACAGATCTGCCCAGCTCTAAAGTCTTAAACTGGCTTCCTGTAGCTCAAAGAACAGACTTTAAAATCCTTCTCTTAGTCTATAAATCACTGAATAGATCAGCAGCTCAATACATAACAGATTTGTTGTCAGTGTATCAACCCGCCAGACCACTCAGGTGTTCCAGTTCAAGCCTACTCTGCAAACTCAGAACTAGACTGTTGGCCATCAGCCTGCAGTCCATCAGGACAAAAACCTCACGCCAATCCGGTACCAGCGTTATCAACAAGGCCCAGAGATCTCCATGACACTGTCACTTTCTCTCTCCATCCCCCGTTCAGGACCTAGAAGCTACACCAATGTAGCATCTCCAGACGCCCTGGGTTACATTAACGCACAGCCTACTGTGCATATAGTACAGAGCTATATACTATATATTGTATACAGTATATTGTATGTTTATATTGTATATAACTATAGATTATGTACTCTGTAAATATATATCATTTGTCTGAACCATCAAAACCAAGTCAAATTACTGTCAGTGCAAATCTACTTGCAATGAACTTGATTCTGATTCTGTTAGAACCAAACATAGAGAAGCAGCATTAGATCTTATGCTCCACTTTTCTGGAACAAATTCTCAGAAGACTTAAAGTGCAGAAAGCCTAAGCTCTTTAAATGAAAGTTAGAAATCTATTTGTTTAGAACTGACTCTGACACTTGACTGTATACAAAAAAAACCTGCCTTGCCTTGCCCTAAAAACTTGCTGCTTTAAGTGCAGTGAACACTGGGTCTACAAAGTATTGACTAATATCAGAATTCATAAAGTATGAATGCCTAGCTTTTTATTGATGAAAATATCTTAATGTAAAAGGGCATATCATGTGTCTGAAGATTTTCAAAATTGGTTGTGATATAGCCACAAAAAATTAGACAAATTCTCTTTTTTTAGTCTCAATTTCAACTTCACTTTTATTTTCACCTGTGAAAAATGTGGTTAAACCAAGAAGGATGACTTAACACAAGACCATTATTACTTCACATTATTACACCACAACCGTTAACTTTTAAAAATCAAGTTAGTTGTGTGATTCCTAAAAAAATATATTTTTTTTATCCTGTTGGATTTAGCCTTTAGCACTCTAAATCTTTTGTCTCAGACTAGGCGCTCAGAGTCAGGGTGGAGAGGATGATCAAGACACTTATCATCCATAGTTGACTAAACTTGAGCCATTTTACAAAATGAGGTAAACATCTAAGGTTCTAGTTGTGAAGAAGGAAAAAAAGTATAAGAAAAATCTTGGCAAAATGTGAAAGAAAATCAGTGGGCGTACACACTTTAGCTAGATACAATGTATATTGAAACAATTCAAATCACCATTTGCATTAATTAAAATAAATGTTCATTTTGTCTTTTGTTTGCTCCCCCTGAAACCCATGTAACAGTGAAAATGCTAGCTGTCAAATAATAAGCAGGTCTATACAAATCATTAAAGCATTACAACATTCCTCTGCTACAGACAGTGATTTAGTGGTAAAGATTGGGCCATAAATGCTTCACTCCAGTTAACTGTAAATATATTGAGAGGATTGTATTCTCCCAGACCCCCTATCTTACACTCTCTCTGCCAAAGGTTCTGCTGA